TGTTTTGTATATTAGATTTAAACTCTTCATCTAATTATATAATTTGCTTGGGTATTTTAATTAATATGCACATAAACTTAGGCTCTATTGGATAATTTTCTAACTATCTTATTTTTTGGACAACAATCATAATTTTATTTGCTAGTGTTTTATTACTATTTTATCATTGTTTTTCAGAAACTTATGTGATGAAAAGTTTTTTTTTTTTTTTGTATTCAAAATAACTAAGTTATTTTTCCACAATAATTTCATAATCAAATTTAATAAAATATTGCAGTTGGCTCAAACATATGCTAAGTTCTGTTAGTTTGTGTGAAATCTGATTGTGTTGATCAATCAGATTGTTCTGTTACCTCGGACCTCAATTTAATTTGTCGTGCTCGCTAGGAGGGTGCGGGGTTCCTCCCCTTGCTTAGGTTTGGTTGCTTTACACTAGAAAATTGTAGGGATTTTTACATAACTAGCACTTAAAACCTCTCTATTTACTTATCTAACACTTAAATTTTAATAGTTACCCTTCTACAACATAAAAGCCCTATCTCTCATCAAATATTTATCCTTCTACCACATAATCGACTTCTCTAGCTTATGCAAATACATCCGAACATATGGATGACGAGGAGGACAACAGTCCTAACCTGCCCGACCAGCCAATTGACTCACAAGCAGCCCTTGGAATGCTTGTTCAATAGGACGTTATGCCGGAATCAGACAATAGCTCTACTAACGAAGACTCAATCTCTGTTATGAGGTCTCTCATAGACCATGACCTTCATTCTGATGACTCTGTCCCTGACGCAGAACCACCAAGCGACAGTCTTGGAAGCTCCGCCCAGGTTCGTGATCCGACCCCAGTAATCCCATGTGGGGATGCTATTTCTAGTGGGAAGGCTTCCTCTGAGATGACGTATGACTCTAGCGGCAGGATGATTGTGAATGACTCTTCTTAGTGCAAATGTACAAATGTCCAATATATATGCACCTCTCATCTTGTTGCTACAGGATCTTTCCATCACATAATACAAAGAAGAAGATGCAGCAAGCAAAATACAGAGCTTAAGCTCCAAATTGTGAAGCACTTGAAGTGGGAATAGAAGCGAAAGTAGTGGAGTAGGCTCCACTCACAACCTTGCAGACGAAAAGTGGATTTTTGACGGGAGTTAACCAGTTCTAGATTGTCGGAGTCATCACCGACGTTGCACTTGTTCTATCAGCCAACCCCATCTCGCGTGAATGAACGGAAGAGGACAACTCAACGGGATTTCTGATGGGGGTTTAAACGGAGTGGTAGAATTGAGAAAAAAATGAGGCTTTAGATGGTATATTAGTAAATATAATAGTATGAGTGTTAAATATGTATTTATGATAGTTTCAAATGTTATGTAGATAAAAAACTCAAAATTTTATTATCATACAATGTCCCAAGATTATATACCCGAACTATTTATTAGTTAGTATGCTCGCCATTTATTTTCATTGTTCAATTGCAAAATCTTAATATGTAATAATTGAATAGTCCAAATACAAACAAGAAAAATAATATTTAAATATTGAAAATATTTATTTTAGGTGCTCTTAAAATTATTGCTTATTTCACCCCTGTAAATAGCCAACTTCCAATGTAATTTTAACAATTGTAATATATAAGTTCCCAGCCATCTATCTTCCAATGATAGCTCGTTCACTAAAATGTGTTTTTTTTTTCAATTAAATAATTTGCACAATTTGGATAATCTAGGAGTGATAATATCATAAAATATAGATTTTCATAATATTTTTGACCTTCAATTTTATCGCGCGCGTATTTATCCATAAATTTATCTTTTAACTAATTCGTATTAGTTATTTTTAAATCAGTAATTATCTTTATGATTACTGTACATTTTAAGAAAATAGAAAAGTTAGCTTAACAAAAGCTAGCTTTTAATCTCTTTATCCAACGGTCTAAAGAGCGGACGTCAAAAACTATGAAGCAGGTTTAACATGGAATAAAAGTCCGGCTGGTCGAAACGGGAAAGCAGTCAAGCACAGTAGCGAAGAAATAAAAAAGTTCGAATATATATTCTTTGCCTGGTAAAAAATTGAGGAGCAATCAGCGAGCGCTGCTGGTCTTTGAAGCCGTGACATTTTAGAACGGGGAAGAGTTGCTTTGTTATCCAAAGAGGCAGGTGAGCAGAAAGAAAAAAAGTAGGAAGGAGTTGCGGATGGGAAGATCGCCGAGCTTCTGTTTCAGTATCAGGGCGTGCGCCGGCAACGCCGATGAGGGCGATTTCTCGACGCTGCAGGAGGTTTAACCATTTTCTACTTTTTTTTTTATTTTATGTTGTTTGTTTTACACATCTTTATCTGTTCGGTGAATGCGGAATTTTGCTTAGAAAAAGTGGTTTACTATCTTTTTTTTTTTTGTTTTAGTTGATCTTTGATTTCTGCAAAACTGAGTTTTGGTTAGCTTATTTGAATTTTTACGTAGCTTTAGGTTGGTAATTGGAACCGGGACGGTTTAAGCAAGAAGGATGATCCAGTCTACTTTCTTGCCGGATCGGGATTGTTATTAATGACGAGCTCCTGTTTGATTTTTTTTTTCTTCTAGGGTATGGTTGAGCATGTTTCTAATTGAAAGCATCATTATCCGTCATACTCTGCTGAAAGGGATGGTTTAGTTGCGAATATGATTACATGATTTACCATTTGCAGTTTTTTGTAGTATTTCTAACCTCTAATACGTAAATATTATTCTGCTTTAACCTTCAGAAGTGGTTGGACGCCGATATGTTCATTTCGTTCATCTTTCAAAATCTATTGGGGATTAAAGTTTTCATTTTTCTATTTGGGTAAACATGTTTCATTAAATAGTAATTAATGAAATAACTTTGAATGATAATTAATTTTGACTTTTTCTCTTGATAGAGAATAAGTTTACAGGAAATCATCTCCTTCCTTATCCGCGCTCGAATCCCTTAACCTGCCCCCCCTCCCCCCCCCCCCCCCCCCCCACCCCCCCCCCAAAAAAAAAAAAAAAAAGGTTTACAAGAATTAATTATGCCGTGGCCAAGATATTAAATGGTAATCATGCTACTAGTTATTTTGGTAATGAATAATTAATAATAAGAAGTTAAATTCGGGGATTTTAGCAATTAGAAAATTTGTTATGATTATGCTTGTTAATAAATTGGCTCAATACATGATCAAAAGTGGTTATGAGATCATTACTTAATATTACGTAATTGATATTTAAATTTTAGTAATTGAATTATTGCTAAATAATTCTGCTGGATAATCATATCATATGACAATTAAGATATTAACTTCATTTTTGTTTGCTATTTAATCACTATGTTAGTTAATCAATGGTTACTTCTCTAATTGATCAGTAATTTACTCATTTCTAATTATTAAATAACTAATAAATAATCAGTTTAACTAGCAATTTCAGTATGAAGAAGAGTGATAATTAATCTATGCAGTATACTAATGTGCTGATTACTTAAATAATAAATGTAAATGATTAGTTAAACAATAAATCAAATAACTAACTTTTAATTACTAATTTATACCAAAATACATTTTATCAATTATTTAACCTCATACACTTTTCTCTATCCCTCTCTTCTTTTTTATTCTCTTCTAGTCCTCAGACTCCGCCTTCCTTTAATTCCTTGATATTGGGGGTGATGGATATGGAGATTAGGGTATTAGATAATTTTAATGCATTAAACATAAATCCAGGGATTATGGGATCATTATAATCCTCAAAGTATTGGCATTATGGGAGATTTGAGAGTTAAAACTTATCTAATTGCCTAATAACTCCAAACAAAAAAACTCTTTTGTTGTGTGATACACACAGCGGAAATAATAAATCAAACAACAAACAACACAAAGAACACGACGATTTATGTGGTTCAGCAAAAATGCCTACGTCTATGAGGAGGGGATGATGATTTCACTATATTGGAGAAGAAGAAGAATTATAATTGCTCTCAAGCTCTCTCTTACTCTCATACAGTAGCCCATAAGCCCTTTAAATATATTTGAGACAATAATTTAGGAAAATTTCATAATCAAATCCCCAATCAAATCACATAATTAAGAAAAATTAGCTTCCTAATTAATTACAATAATAAGTCATTAAAGCTTATTTAGATTTGGGAAGTAATTCCAAGTCAACAATCTTCATCTCATCTTTTACTTCAGAAAGTGGAAGACGACAAACCAAGCTCTAATATTAAAACGACTGCACCCAGATGGTTGGCTAAGTAACTCTCCCAAGGGATCAAGCTGAGCGTAGTTCCTCAAACAAATAGACAATCAGTGAATCAGTCATAAGTCCTGCACTACTGCTGTGGTGATTGTATCTCCAAGCCTACATTAATTGTACCCTTTAGATACCTCAGGATACTCTTCACAGTTTGCCAATGACTCCTTCCTATATCATGTATGAACATGTTCACAACGCCAACTGCTTATGCAATGTCTAGATTGACCTACTCCAACATCAGACCATATTGTACTACAAGTGTCAAGTAACCACGAGTCAAGAGATTCTTATTCATTGGAGAAAACACTTTATCGTAAGCAATCCCTTTATATTGCGCATAGCCTTTTGCCATCAAACTAGGATTGTACTGCACATCAGCTCCAAGAGACCCCTCCTTTACATGCATCTATTTGCATCCAATGGCTTTTCTTCTTGGAGGAAGCTTCACCATCCTCCAAGTAGCATCATTCTGAAGAGGAGACTCTATCTTTTCATCTGTAGCCCTCTTCCAAAAATCACCATCAGGACTGTCCATTGCTTCATTATAATGACTAGGAACTTAAGCCTCCAATGCTGAAAGTGCAAATGCAATGTGATCCCTCAACCAAGCTGGCTTTGGGATATTCTAGGGCCAGGTCTTATTCCGTGCAATAGATTCTTGAGTAGAAATCTCATCCTCAACATCATTTCTTACCTTCTGATCTGCAGCTGAATCAGATACTTAGGTAGAAATGATCTTCCTCTGTGGATCAAATGGAGTTGCTTCAAATTCCAACTTCTGCAATCCATATATGGTCCCAATACAACTCTCCACATGCTTTGAGTCTTGAGGCTTTAATATGCTCGCCTCATCAAAAGTAACATCCCTGCTAATGACAATTTTTTCTCTATCGGATCATATGGTTTGAAGCCTTTGACTCTACGCCTAAAGCCAGTAAAGATTGTCTTCCTTGTTTGCGATTCTAGTTTATCATTATGACCATAATAGTGAGTTAGACACCCAAACACTCTTAAGTACTCATAATCTCTAGCAGGATGCCCTTACTAAATCTCTATTGGGGTCTTCTTCCCAATAGCTGCAGAAGACAAACGGTTCATCAAATGACAAGCATATTCTATTGCCTCAACCCAACAAACTCTATCCAACCCAGTATTAGATAACAATGACTGAATTTTCTCCACCAAAGTCTGATTCATCCTCTCAGTCATCCCATTCTACTGAGATGTCTCTCTAATTTCTTTGTCGACATAAATAAACATTAGTTTGAGAAGAATATTGTATGTAGCTGAAATTTGGATATCAACATAATTATTCATTCACTTGTAGTATATACACACATTTTTAATAGCTCGTTACTTTACAACAACAACAAGCCTTTATCCCATTGTGTGGGATCGGCTACATGAATCTTTTTTCTCCATTGTGTCCTTTATAACTTGTTACTATAAAAAATATTTTTTTCCTCCTGTATGTAAAATATTAGCCATGTGATTTTGTTGCTCATCTGTATGTTCTTTCATGTAAAATGTAAATTACTCTTTCTATAGTAATATGATAGCATTACAGGTTAAAGCATCACCAGAGAAGCGTAGGTGGAGTTTCCGGAAGAAACATGCTAGGCATCATGTACCAAGTAACACTGTGATTTCAGAACCTATGCCCATTTTCAGTGAAAATCAGAACAGAGAAGCAAATGCTGATACTCTTTATTCAGAGAAGGCTCCATCTAACCCAGAGAAAGTGTGCATTGTGGAACGAACAAGTCAAACTCTGTCATTGCCGTCAGCTGTGGTTTCTTCCAGTTCACCCATGGAATTAACCAGTTCATCTACTGTCTTAGTAGAGTACAACATTCCAGAACATGTTGTTATTGTTATCCAGACTTCTATTCGGAGATGTTTGGTAAGACCTTTACAATGTCCACAATCACCAAGAAATACAGAGTGCTGCATGTTACTTTAACTACTTAAAATATCTACAGGCTCAAAACGAGTTCCAGAAAATTAAGAATGTTGTGAAGATTCAGGCTGCTGCACGTGGTTATTTGGTAAGAAGACAGGCTGCAGGAACCTTGCGTTGTATTCAGGCCATCGTCAAAATGCAAGCACTTGTGCGGGCTCGACATTCATTTCAATCTGCAGAGTTAACTGAGAAAAATAAACTTGATAAGTACATACGAGCTGATGTGGTAAGGTTTTCTAAATAAAGGTTTTTCCATCCATGCTGTTTGTTTTACTCAACTTGTATATTGAACTCTTAGAGATAATTCTTTATTATCAATTTATTTTCTTTTGTTTGCCAGTTAGATCTTTTAGCATTTATGCTAGTAGGAACTATTACCTACAGTGTTTATTGCCATCTTCTTTCATATTATTGGATTTGTTCGGTATATAGCATATTAATCCCGTTTTCTCCCAACTTCAGGTTAAGCAGTCTGATGTGGAACTAAATAAAGCACCATCTACAATCAGGAAGTTGGTTTCCAGTGCATATGCTTGTCAGGTATGCTTGCCGTTGTCTGTTATGCTTTTCACTTTGTTTATAGGATTCAAATTGGGGCCATTTTATGTTGTCACAGCTTTTAAAGTCTACACCAAGGGCCAAGTCCATTCGCATTAGTTGCGATCCCCTGAGGCCTGATTCTTCATGGAATTGGTTGGAGAGGTGGATGGCTCTAACATCAATTGATCGACAGAAGTTCGTTTTGAACCAGGATAATCTGGAAAAAAATATGAAGAATGACTTGGCTGCTTATGATGTTAATGTTGGGTTGCATGTTATTTCTCAACACGCATTACCTGATTCAGAATTAGCTGTTAATTCGCCAGAAGTGCCAGAGGTTGAAGGGAACCTGATAACTAAGAGTTCTAAGGCAGAACTTTTGGTTATTGCATCTGCTTCAGATCAATTAGCTACTCCTGTTCAGGATAATGAACTGCAGTCTCATGTTCAAGAGACTGATGCTATGGAAAACAACAAAGACTGGTCTAAAAGAGAAGCTAAAGTGATTTCAGAAGGCAGTTTACAATTGAAACTTGATGGTAATCCAAGTAAACCTAATAATAATGAAGATAACTTTAAGAATGGTGCCAGAAATGAACTTGATGATGTTGAAGAAAATGGAGGCAAGGTTGTTAATACATTCGGGAAGTCAAAGAATACTACTTTTGCGGCAGTACAGGCGAAGTTTGAAGAACTGAGTTCTGCGCCTGATTCTAATAGATTTATGGACTATGCCTCGAGTGATGCTGTTAGTGTATCAAAATCAGCTCATTCTCAAGTGGTCTTCATATCCAAAGAACTTAATGAGAGAAAATCTGTTTACTCCATGGTGGATAAGGATGTTAACCTGAATGAGAAACTATCTAGCTATAGTCCAAAAGACCAAGTTGCTGCTTCAGCGTATGAAACTGAGATTTATGTTTCTTCACTTGACATATCGGAAGATTCTCTTGCTAAAATTACTCCGGAACTCAGAACTTCAGATGAACTAAACCATGGTGTAGTAACTTTTGCCAATGGTTCAGTGAAACTTGATGAAACCAAAGTTGAAACAAAGAAAACGGAAGAGAGCAGCAAAAACGTGGCCATCTCAGTTTCTTCTGTTGAAGTAGTGCAAGTGGAGGAAGACTGCAAAGATACATATGTTGATAAACCATCACCATATAGATCTCCTAAAAGACATACAGTTGTTGAAGATTCTCCTGCAACACCATCCAATCATATATCTTTACATGTACGAACTGACAAGGTTGGGGATAACAGCCCCGCAAGGAAGAAGAAGTCTCAATTAGCAGTAGAGAATTCACCGACACATTTGAGGAATGATTCAGATGCCCGAAGCAGTGGGGAACATTTACGAAAGGGCACAAAATATGTGAAGAGACCAAACTCATCTGGGAGTGATAGAAGTAATCATTGCCATCATGAGGACAGAAGCAGTAGCAATTCTCTTCCAAGTTATATGCAACTTACTGAGTCTGCCAAGGCTAAGATCAACACTAGTTCCTCTCAGAAATCAAGTAGCAGTCCCCATCACAAAGATAATCTGATAAAGAAGAGACATTCATTTCCTATTGGGAATGAAAAGCAGAGCTTATCCCCTCGAATGCATAGTCCAAAATCTCAAACACCACAAGATTTGAAGGGAAACGTTGTTTCTTCTGATATTTCTGCCGGTAAGCTTTAATCTTTTGTTTTGGTATTCTCTCGCTGTTTTCATTGGCTGTTCTGAAGACTAGGTTCAACTCTGAAAGCTTCGATATGTTTTAAGGAAAAAATAGGTTATGGTTGAGTTTCAAACGTTTTCGATTTGTTTTGACATCAGTGAAGTATAAATTCTGTTCTATTATTCATTTATTACATACACTCTTCTCAAAGCAAATCAAATAACTTTGATATCCATCCTACCAAATTTTGATCAGATGCCATTCAGCGTCCGCACAGAATAATTTTTCTTGATGTTGACGCTTGAAAGTCCTATGCATAAATGTCATTTTATTAGCGTCAGCATCCTCAGCGCATGACATGCATGCATAAGTCCATATCGAGCACATAAATTGTTAGGTATTTCCTTTCTGTTTCTTTCGTAAAATGATGAAAATGTCATGCAAGTGAAGCCCCAAATGTTTTAAATTGAACTAATATCTTAGCATAACCTGGATTCCTTCCAATGGCAACAGATGATATCTGATCATTGTTACTTCATTAGTTTCTTGTATTTTTCACTTCTGACGTTACAAAAGGCAGTCCTGTTGAATTTTCGTTGATAAATAAAGCCTCCTCATGCAACATGCAGTTCTGATATTAGACTTTTTATTTTAGTTGTGATACTTATGAAGAATGAAGAAATTAAGGTTTTGTTCGGGATGGCTTTCTTGCTACTTTTTAAAGCAGCTTTCTAGTACAAAAATTAAAATTTTTGTACTAAAAATTTGATTTAAAAAGCAATAAGAAAGCCATCCCAAACGAAGCCTAAATGACCCTCTACCTGATTTAATATAATCTAACAACTTGAATTTTTTTTTCTTCCACAGAGAGGAGATGGCAATTATAAGTAGGCCTGGTGAAAACTAGTGTTGTTTCACTGAAATAGACTGAAGTCAGTGTGTGAACAGTGAGCTAAATAGTGGTTTTATATATCTTTTTCTTAGTTTACTGTGTTTTTTTACCAGATTTGTATGTGTTACCCCCTACACTTATAACCTTACAAAGCTATAGTTGTAATTATACCTGTACATCATAAAACTGGTGTCTAGAGAGTGGAGAGTCTGTCTTAATTTTTTTCTCCTATTGAGGTTTCAATGAGATATTTTGTATGTATTTGAGATATTTGTATCTATAATATGAGAGTTTGTTGTGTGATCTCTATAGAGTTCTAAAGCTTTTGAATTTCGATTACAGTAAATAGTTTTTTTCTTCTGAAACTAACACCCATGCTTTACTGGGAGTTGTATACACTTTTTGATATTTATATTTTGATGGCATTTAGAAACAAAGTTGTAATATAAATAAAATTCAAACTATGGGGATAAGGTTCTATGCATCGACTAACAGGAGCCTTGTAGATGAAAAATTATTACGTGTGGTGTCTGGACGGGTCTGTAAGTCAATCTGGACTCGTCACGTACCCAATGTATAATGCATTGGATGATGTGGCACGTCTGGATTGACCCCCGGACGTGTTCAGACACCACAGAATAATCTCTCTAGTTGGAAGAGAGTGAATGAAAAAAATGAAAGTATTTTTAGTGATTATAGGTGAATTAAAAGTGCTGAAAATTCTACTTGAGGTAGGAAGCATTTGCTCCTTGCAGAGCGGAGCGGAAAAAATTAAGTATTTAATTAGGGATGGTTTATTAATAATATTTTAATAATCATTAATTTACATGGCATGCGAAATTATTTATTTTCAAACACATACATATCTACAAGAGGGTGCATATATATATGAGCTAATTTTGGGCTGAACGTAATAAATCTGAGAATTTAGAGCTAGAAAATAAATTTTAATCTCACATATACTAAATTTCAAATGGGAGTTTCAATGTAAATTGATTTTTATCAGTGGCGGAATTTAAAAAATTAATTTTTTATGTTTTTAAAAATGCTTTAATATATTTTTATATTTTTAATTTAATAGATATAGTGAAATAATATTTTGATCTTTTAAGAGTATTAATATTTATTTTTGATAAATTATTAAAATTTATATTCAATTAATTATATTACATTCAAATTTATGAATGTTTTTTTTTTCACTTTAAATATTTAGGTAATAGTTCTATAAATTTTTTTTCTTTTTTTTTTTGGGTAATTTTTTTTTCTTTCTCTTTATATATAAATCTTTAGTTAGTTGTATTCTGTTAAATATATTATTACATACAAATTTTTCTAATAATAAATCGAGTAAAAATTTGGAAAAAAATTTCAGTGTGGATTGACTCCTTGGCCTAACGTATAAGGGAAAATTTTGAAACGTAAGCAGCATTAGAAATATAATTAGCTCATTATACATGTTTAAAAAAATTTTAAAACTAGGCATAATAGTACGTTCAATCGGGGATTGGGTATGCACATGTCTGGACGATGATGAAGCTCCCTTTCATTTCCCTTGGATGGTCTTCGGGCAACCAAGGAAATGTTCCTGTGCTGTCCCTTCGTTATTTCTGAGTCCAGGCAACTTGGCGTGGGAGCAGGATGTTCTGTACTTGCCATTACTGCTTCTTGGTGCCCTCTCCTGCTGGAATCTGCTTGGGTGTTGCTATGGTTGCTGGGGATTTCCTCTGGGCTGCGTTCTTGACCTCCGGGATGAAGATTGTTGCTTATACACTTTTTGTTTCTTGTACCTATGACTACTGTCACGGTCTCTTTTTCCTGGGCTTTTCTTTGATATATGATTGTAATTGTGTGGTATATTGAGGAGCTTTTTTCTCCCCTTCCCTCATAAGTTTTTGTTGTTTGCTTATGTTGGGATGTTTTCACTTGTAATTTTTCTTACTTGTAACCTTCTTTTTTAATGAAATATATGGGCTAGGGCCCAAATTTTTCCAAAAAAAAAAAAAAACTGCATCAAGAAACAATAAAAAAAGTTGTCGCAAACGAAACCTATGTCTTAATACAACTCTATTAAGATGAGCATAAACTTTATTATATTTATTTTGAGATTAATCATACATATAAAAAATTTATATTATACTACATTCAAAATAAATCCAATAATTTTTTAACCCATTATGATATAAATTATATCAAAATGTTCTGACATACTTTTTATTGAACAGTATTTCCAATATAATGAAAAAAATGTATAATCTTGAAGCAAAGTGAATCAAAATGACCTTCAAAATCCTTTGATTTTTGTTGAGAAAAAACATTATTTTAAATAACATAATGAATAAGATAATCAGAATTATACTAATTTCATCGTAAATATAAATACTTTGAAACTCATCACGATGCATTTTACATAAAAATATCATCATAATATTTGTTCCATGTCATCATCGCTAATAGTTCATATACAGCACATTTGCTGATTCCATTATCCAAATTTGGAAAATATTATTCTGTTCGGACGCCGAATGCCGTCTTGAGACCAACTAGAATATGAACGTCACCCCTTCTGTACTGCTCGGTACCGCTCGATACCGTTGACGTGATTGCACTTGATTCGCCTCCGGACATAGAGCTTTATCCGGCGTCCGCATAGAATAATTCCTCCCAAATTTGGGCCTTTGAATAAATAAAAACTTAATGAACCTGCGAGAATTGATCTTTGCATATGCATCAAAGAAAAAGATTTCATGCAAAAATGCAAATACATCATTTGATTATCATCGAGATAGTATAAATTGCGAGTCCAAAAGTTGACTCATGTTCTATCAACAATGAAATTTATTGGCGAGAACCAATCAATTATCACTATATACAATTAAAACCACCACAGAACTAATTCTAAGCTTGGTTTGGGACAGTTTTCTTAATGATTTCAAAACCAACTTTTTAATACAAAAATTTCTTAAGCAAAAAATTTTTATGCTAAAAAATTACTTCATAAAATAACAAAAAATTCATGCCAAATTAAGCCTAAATCAGATGTATTGGCATGCATAAAACATAAAAAGGTACCTAGTTCATCAGCCCGCTTCTCGAAAAGAACTCAGCCAACCAAGCTTGCCTTAGATTACCATTCTTTGCAAGAAACGCCATTCCAAGTTTTTCATTCTCGTGCAGATAATCAAAGGCTTTCCCAAGAGACCTCTCATCATAGCCATCAACCTTCATTACCTCTGCAAAAAGTTCAGATGAGATGCCCCTTCGACTGATTCTGATAGCCTCAGCCAATTTACCAATCTGGGAAGCAAGGTGATCAATCTTTTCAGCAAGATTATGCTTTCTCCTACTACTCTGCCCAGTTCTTTCCGTTGAAGCAGAAGATGAAGGGACCTGTTGGGACCTGGTAGGCGTTTCGTCCACATCCTCTTCAATCTCGAAGTCTTCATCCACGACGACGTTTACATCGTCAGGAGCTACGATAGCGATCCCATCAGGATCCTCCTTTAGGTAGTTAGTAAAATTCTCAGTAAGATTGTCTTCACTGCAAATGATAGCCATCTCATCGTACATTTCAATAGGTTTGTTCAAAAATGGCTCATCTTTAGGATTCGCCTATTTATAAAACAAACAAAGAATGTCAACAAAAACAGCTTTAATTCTTCTTGGTTTTTTAAACGAATTTTTAGTATAAAAATTTCAAATTAAAGAATTTTTTTACTACAAAATTATTTTAAAAAACAGTATAAAAACTGTCCCAAACGAAGCCATAATATATGACTGTGAGAAAAGCAAAGCAAACCAAACATACCGCAATATGTGCACCATATCCGACATCATCCATGATGATTTTCTTTTCCTTTTCATCAAATTTTGTGTTGCTCAAACTCTGAAGTCTCTTTATCTGCAAGAAGCGAGTCTTGATTGTTCTCAGGTGATTTTCAACATTTGAGTCACTACAAAGAAGCTTGAACCTTTCTGTCACAGCCTCAGCAGCAGCAATGAATGCTTGCCTTTTAAAGGTTTTATTGACTTTCAATCCAAGCTTAGCCTGTTCTATGAGACATGAGAGAAGGAAACGACTCATTGATGGGCTCCACCGAAAGTTGGTGCAACCTTTCTTATTTTGGCGTTGATACAGTTGTGGAGAATAGGTCCCTGCTAATTATAAAAATAGAAACCAACATATAGAAGTTATGTCCTCAATAATAACTCCATTCTTTTCTATAAGGATTCAAGATTGTTGAGCCCTATATATCTTTGATCAAAGAAGCAAAATCAATCACAATAGATGATGCAGTGCACATCTTATGCCATCCTAACGAACTCCTGACATCCACTACCTTTTACTACTTTCAGTTATTACCTTTACTTATTAGCTTTATTTTATTTTTGCAAGATATAGCAATAGGGAGTATTCCAGAATACTGATATAGCCATGAGCGGCGGGAGCCATCGAGCAGTTTTTTGCAAAAATCATTTTAGAGGAGTTAATACAAACACCTGAATATACAGGTTTATACTTCATTCCAGCGATCGGATTGTTCTTGTGATTGCTCTGTTTTCTTTGCAGGTTTCCAGTAGGACTTCAGCTGAGTGTACGGGCTGCAACAGGTTGGCATCAGAGCCTCGCCTGGGAAAGAAATGACAGATCGCGGCAAGGAACCCATCTCTGAAGGAGCGCGAAGTATTGATGCGATCTGGGCAAACCAGGAAAATCTCAACTGCCGAATAGATGAGCTATTGGCTGACGTCCAGAGGCTTACCGTGGAGATTCGCTGCGAGTTCAATCTCATCAGGGCGAGACAACCACCACAGCTGCCACCACAAGTCGATCAACAAGGAATCAGGCCAATGCGGTGAAGGGGTTTGGCAGCGAACCGACCTTTCCGCCACTTCCCCGCTGATATGCATGCGTTATCTGACTCTGAGGAGGAGACGCCATTCCATTGAGACATGGAAGTAGGAGATTCCGCTGATGATGATGCAGGCAATCCACAGCAATTGGAATTTCAAAGACATCGGAGACCGGCACATTTCCAGTCAGGTGAATTTAAAGCTAAACTTGATATCCCCTATTTTGATGGCCGAATGCATATAGAGGACTATTTGGACTGGGAGAAAGCTGTGGAAAACTTCTTTGAATATATGGAAGTTGTTCCGGACAAGCAAGTGCGGTATGTAGCATGCCAGCTAAAGGGCGGTGCAAGCGCTTGGTGGGCGCAGATTGTTCAAATGAGGAAAAGGGAAGGCAAGGGGAAGGTGCGGAGTTGGCAGCGCATGAAACAACTGTTACAAGCTCAATTTCTGCCTACTGATTACGAGCAGATACTTTACATGAGGTATCAACACTGTACTCAAGGTTTATAACAACCCAAGATCCATGTAGCGAAAAGATTCCTCTGATCGATCGTTCATTTCTTTTTCTTTTCAGTTTCTTTATCAGTTGTTCGTATCAATAATATTCATATGTCAATATCATATCTATCATCGATATAATCTACATTCATGTCACTGTCAATATCTATCAATACACAGAATCCATATCAATATCGGTGCCAGTGAATCAATATAATCTATATCAATATCAGTGTCAATCTCTATGAATCAATACGCAGGATCCATATCAATATCGGTGCCGGTATCAATGCGATAAATCCAATCGGAAAAGCAATACGATAAATCAATAAATCCGTCAAATCAATCACTCAATCTAAACAATGAATCCGTACGATAAATCAATAGCAGCAGCAAGTCAAATCGATGAAGCATCAATGGTATCAATGAATCTGTGAATCTATGCCGTCCATGTCCATATCAATATCAATGATCAATAATCAATAGTAGTAGCAATGCTCAACGATCAATCAATGAAATCCGTGAATCCGTACGATAAG